CGTTCTGGCGATTTACCCGGACTTCGGTGGCAGTTATACGCGTGAAGTTGTTTGCGGTCTGCCAGTAAACCCAAAGCAGAAGAAGACGAAGTGACATCAGCGGCTTCATATCCCTAATCCTCCCTCAGGGACTTATTCCGGTGTGAACGCGATCTACTAGATAGTTCAGGAATTAAAGAGTTCCGGGGAACTAAGTTCCGGGAACTATTTCTGGGAAAAGTACTTGGTGTGAAAGCGCCTCTTGACGTCATGATACTGGAACCCTTTGGGTCCAGATTATTTGTTGGTCCTCCTGCAGGGCCCAGCTGTTACTTTGAGGCCTGCTCGGACACTGACTGCCTCCCATCTGACACCAGAATGAAATCTCATTCAGTCAAACTGCTTGGAATTGATCAGCTTTTTTGTTCATAAGGACCACCCTCTTAATCGCTCACCACATCACACTGTGGCCCCCAGGAGAGTGAAAGAGAGGGCACAAGGGCGAGGGAACAAGAGAGTATGAAAGAGAGTGAGAAAAAAGAGGTGCAGTGAAAGAGGGAAAATGAGAGATGATTAAAATACAGTATTTTTCCACAAGTGTTTCCTAGTCATTTAAAGGACGTCCTTGAGGACAGTTTTGGTCGTTGAGTGGCTTAATGTTCTGTGTATTAACAGCTGTTTTACGGCCCTGATTATTACCGCTGCCTATTCATATGCTAACTGTTACATTTGTTATTCACAAGGCAAACAAAAGGGTCTATTGAATTAGAATAATTAAGTGTCCTGAGGTAATCGGTGCCTTTTTGAATGAGTAGGGCTTAATTTACCTGATTTACAGTATGTAAATTCACTGAGTTAGATTATCAGAAAAAAGGGTTTATCCGTTGTATTTATTTGAGCTGTTTGACTCTGACGGGATCTATTTTTCCCGAATTAACTGTTGGCAGCAAACAACAGGTCAGATGTGACAGAGGCAGGTGGTCAATAAAGTTCATTAAGTGGTGTTTGAATCCATTTCTTGATAAATGGATTAATCGCAATCATTCACACGGATCTTCACACCAATTTATTTAGCAGCAACAAAGAGGTGTGAACTGACAGCTTATCACCATATAAGCTCAACATCATGCTCCTCTTTGTGCCAGCGCTCTACTTCCTGATTAGTAGTGCTTTGGAAAGAAAAGACAGCTGCACACTGGAGCTCAAAGCACTCTTTGAAATATAAATGCTTGTACCTTATAAATGATTCATCACAAAGAGAAAGAGAGAATTATGTTGTAAGTATGTCAAGGTAGGATTGGAAAGACTTTGTAAATTATTAGTACTTTAGTCCAAAATATATGGCTCCCTTGTGATTAAGTATGCATTGTTGACTTGGGCTTTGTCCAGGAAGTGCACCCTAATAGCTATACATGCTGCATTGTTTTCAGTTTCACGTGGCGATAGTTAATCATAACATATTTTCAGAGACAGGGGTATTGATCCTTTGTCTCTCTGAGGGGCCGCTGCCGGCTACATATCCATATCTTCCTGCTGATCTGCCGAGAAACTAAAGGATGACTCATAGTATTTATCGAACCACAGGGGCAGCTGCTGCATGTGTGTCGATGGGGGGGGGGGGGGGCGTTACAAGTCATGTTGTTCTGTCTACACTCTGTCAGGATACAATTGATATGTAATTCAATTAACCTTGCCCAAAGTAACTGTTCATCTTATGTTGTTGGTGCACTCATTTTTGGGAAGGTTAACTTTGTAAAAATTTGCAGGTTACAGTATTGCAGGTTACAGTAGTTACCAATTGTAAGTATATGTAATAAGTAATTTACCTTAAATCACTTCATCAAAGTAATGTAACGTCTTACATTAGACATTGGAACAAATCAACATAATTAATCCTATTTCCTACAAATAAGCTCTTTAATGAATAGATATTACTGAAGAACAGTTGGATTTAACCTTTGTAAGACAACATTTTGAATAGTAACTGTAACTGTAACTTTTTACAATTTCATTATTTTAACCATTAATTCTGTGGGACATGTGTAACTAGTTACTCCTCAACGCTCCATGCAGTCTACCAAGCTTTTGCGCATTAGTTCCAGCACTCGTTTGTTACAGTGCGGCTGTCCTGTTTTGCTGTTGATGCGTGCTTTGATTTCCTCAATCAAGCCTTGGCTCCTCGATCATGACAAGTCAGCTATTGGTGCAGTTAAAACCTGTGTCAGGAAAATGGGAACAGTGTGTCTATTGATCACAGTGAAACATCATCTGACATAGATATAAGGCAGCTATCCTTGAGGGACAGACCCTGCATGTATGCTGTCAGTGCTGTTCATGGTCAAAATGGCAGCGGGAGTACGCCTAGTGGCCATAACTGAATGATGTGCGAGCAGTGGGTGCAAATCCCTCGTATGGATTAGTATGTTGATCTAATATAACAGGATTTAGATCAGTGTCAATTTTGACTTTACAAAGATGCTTGTTGGTTTATTTATTCTTCTTTTCTTATAATATATAATATAATATATTATTGCATTGCATTACTGCCCTCTTCCTCTGACAATCCCTCTGTTTCTTCTTCCCCAGGCGTTCGGCCAGGCTTACACCAACCAGCGTAAGGTGGCAGAGGATGGGGAGACCAATGAGGAGACGTTGCTGCAGGAGTCAGCTTCAAAGGAGGCCTACTACATGGGCCGTCTCCTGGTGCTGCAGACCAACGTGACGCTCAGCCGCTCTGTGGCGTCCAACGCCCAGGCTGAGAACGAGAGGCTCAACGCACTCGTGCAGGAACTACGGGAGGTGAGCATGGCGCATTCTACAGATGGTTGTTCAGAGAAGGCCAGACAAGAACAACAGTAATATGTAGTATACAGTATGTGAGAACAGCAGAGGTCGGAGAAGTACTCAGATCTTGTACTTGAGTAAAAGTAGAAGTACCAGACTTGTGTTACAAGTAAAAGTCCTGCATGCAAAATGTTATGATATGTTTTGATTATAATTATTGATGCATTAAATTGTTATCAAAGACTTTGTATACTGCAGTGTAATTAGTGAATTTACTCCAGGTGGAACTAAAGTCTTATTTAAGTGTTGATTATATTTCACATTATTATCCAAATCTGCAAAGTAACTAAAGGTATTTAATAAATGTAGTGGAGCAAAAGTACACAATTTAACTCTGAATTTTAGTGGAGTAGAAGTACAAAGTAGCATAAAATGGAAATCCAAAGTGTCTCAAATTGTACTTAAGTACAGAACTTGAGTAAATGTACTTAGTTACTCCCCACCTCTGGACAACAGCTTTATATTAGCTGACGGTAGGGCTCATGCATTTGCTCATTTAATTAGCTTCGTTTTCTCACACATTTATCTTTTTTCCTTGTATGTATCCCTTGATGTTTTTTGTTTAGATAGTAGTACAGTAACATTGTAATAACCATTGCTAAAAGTTTAGTTTTTGTGTTGCAACTTTAAGATGTGTTGAGTTTAAGTTAAAGATCTCCTTTCTTTTAAAAGTTTGGTCAATTCATTTGTTGTTTACATCCAAGAAGTAATAATAAATTGTCATTATTGGATTTATTTTTCTAAATGTTTATTATATTTACTGTACACCAACTGACATAATATCTGTGTGTTTGACAAAAGCCAAAGGGTCACAGTTGCAGAACGAGGGTCAACATGCATGTGCGTACGTGCAGAGCGTTTATGCTTTCATAAATGTCTGCAGCCACTGTGTCGGGCGGCACAGGAGTTCGAGCGGGGGTCAGGCGCTGTGGCCACGACCCCATTGTGGGGGGCAAATCCGGTGCTAAGCTGGGGAATGAGTGAAATGCCCTGAGCTCGGCACATGTGTAGAGACAGATAGAGCCAGGCTGCTACACACACAGTACACACACTCATTCACTAAAAACATCAGGGAGTGTTTTGAAGGTCACTTGTTGCACACTGGACGTGTCATTTCTCGAACATGTGTGAAAGTTGGCAGAGTAATGTCACACACACACAATCTTTCTAGTCAAGATATTCCACATTGTTTAGCATAATATTTCCATTTGGGAATCTGACTATGAGCATAGTCACCATATTCTTGAGGAGTTGTTATTCCACACACACATCTGTCACCTGGTTGCATCACGCTCATGGCTCTTTGATGATGTGTTCATCAAACAGTTTCCAGCTCTCTTTGAAATCTTCATTTGCATTTGGGATTCCCATTAATGAGGGGGAGTGGTCTTTTTTATCGTGGGAACCATGTGTTGCAGCCGCACTGGGGGCTTCATTTGTCAGAAGCCATGTTAAATCAAAAGCTTCCATCAAGTGATCTCTCACAAATATTATTAACATAGACAGATTCATCAAGAAATAATACATGGTAAAAGTGTATCTCTGCCAGAAAAAAGATTGCTTTTGGCTTTTTTTGCAAAAAACTTTAGGAATTAGAAATGGGCAAAACTGTTTTAAAACAAATAATATTGTACAAATTGTATGTTATCATGTACTGTATATACGGCACCCCAAATGATGTCATACAGAACACAAAACACCTGCAGTTTATCTTGACTTTTGTCAATGTAAACCTACAAAAAAAGAATCTTAAATGTATTCCATCCTGTGGTAACATTCTACACTTATTCTCCACAACAACAGTGGTTGTACTGATGAATGAAAGCCACATGGCTGGACCTCTGCCATGTTTGCCATTGTGTCGAATCCAACAAATCTGTCCCAGTCACAGTGTGTAAACTCTAGATGTGGGATGAGTGTGTTGTGTGCTCTGTTGTGTGCCACACTGTCCCTGACCCCGGCCGCTGTAGCCCCCCCCCCCCCCATCAGCTCCGCTCTTATAAAGCCTCACTGACTGATAATTGGCCTTTAATCCTGTTACTTTATACCTAGCCTAGTGTAATTCGCAGCAATGTCATGAATATGTAAGACGCAGGAAGGGAAGCTTGTGTTTTATCAATAACATAGCATCCACAAATATACTGTGTTATCTATGGTATTAAGGTGTGTTATTTACATTTGGTTAATATTATGTTTCCTGGATTAGTATACAAATATTCTCAGTGCAGTCTTACTGTACTTCTATGTGCTTTGCAGTTGAGCCTCCATTAGATTTAAAAATGTAGGAGCTGCTGTCAGCCACTGTACAAATAAAAAAATGCAGTGTATGATAATGCTATGTCGTTTCAGTCCAGTTACCATCTCTAGAAGCACCACAGTGGCCCCCCGAAACAAACACTCGCATACAGAGCTTCTAGAGGTTCGAAGCATAGAACAGGCTGTATGTGTGTCAGGTCTCTGAGTTCCTTCCTCCTGTGAGTGCACCCACCCACCCACTGAAACTGCCTCTGGGTCAGCACTTCTGCCATATGCACAGAGAGCTGCAGGGGAGCTGCAGGGGAGCTGCAGGCCGCTCTGCAGTGAGAGGGCCGAACACATGCGCACAATACTGTAAACTACGCTTAATTTGATGCTCCAATTTAGAAGTGCTTGCATTGTACTGAACACATTTAGTCACTTCTAAGATGAAAAATAGGTGGCTGAGCAAGAGCAATGCAAAACTGAAAAGTTCACAGTGCAGATCACAACCACAAGAAAAGAAGAGCTGAATGTTACTCAATTGTCCCTCCAGGCTTCCTTAATACATTGAAGTTGGCAACGTAGATAACAATATTATAATGTTACGTATTTAACTTAATTGTAATATATAGCTTATGGAATGTATATCTCTGCAGGTCCTCCTGTATATGTTGAGACCAAACTTTAATATGGATTTTTGGGCTTTTGCATGCTTTAATGTTCAAAAAGATCTTAATTGTTCTCATACTGCCTGTGCTGCAGCACCTATTTTCACCCTCTGTCTGAAAACAGAGCCGAGTCTGCTCTGATTGGTTAGCTGGCCGGCTCTGAATCGATTGGTCAACCACTTAGAGATGTCCCGCCCCCTGTCATGTATAATGTGTTGGAGCGCTAGCTAATAAAAGCACAGGTGTTACATAGAGATGTCACTATGTCACGGAAGTTAACTCTGGAGGGAACTTGGGAACATTAGCTGTGGATAGACCAACGGACAGATACAGACATGCACAGACACATGCATGCACACTTATACTACCAACACTTGATCGCCCCCAGACTTTTGTCTGGAGATTATGAACCCTCTCATACAAAACTGTCAACAAGTCACTTAAAGTGGGCATTGCTTTAAATGCAGTCAGTTCATCCATCTCCCTAATTTGGAATAAAATAGTTGTGTTTGATGGAGGATTTTGCTATACTAAGATTTATGACTTTTCATGCTGGTTCATTTCTCTCATCTGTATCTGGTCCAGCATATGCTACATTTTCTTAATTTGTGCACAGCAGGCGACCTGGAATGATTAACTTCTCAGGACTCTGAGGGTGCTGACTCATCTAATTTAAGATAATAAAATAGTTTGATCAACTTTTTCCTCCTCTCTCTTCTGTCAGGGGGTTGAATCCTGTACAGCGTAGATATGAGTGATGTTACCTCCTGTGCGCAAAGTCGTGATAGTTATGTATCAGCATTATTACACTGCATCCTCAAATGATGGAAGAATTTTGAATGTTGTCTGCCATGAATTTAGGTTATTCAATTATTTTCTTTCTTCTCTTTCTCTCCTCATTGTATTAATCTTCTCTATTCATCTTTTTCCTCCCGTTTCCTCTGCTCCAGAGTAACGAGATGCTGGAGCTACAAAGGAGCCGGATGAGGGAGGAGGTGAAGGAGTACAAGTTCAGAGAGACCAGGCTGCTTCAGGACTACACCGAGCTGGAGGAGGAGAACATCACGCTGCAGAAACTGGTATCTACGCTCAAGCAGAGCCAGGTCGGTGTTAAGGCTTTCACTACACATGCACTCTTCTAACTGAATTCTCTATTAAAGACACACACGGCTTTTCATTGCCTTTACATGCTGAGACCCATATTAGTTGAAATGCATGACTCACACTTCATTTCCAAATATCAGGAACCTTGTTATGTTTTCAGTATCAATTTCAGGATGCAGTGGATCATAAAGTGCTCTCATCCTTTATTTCCCTTAAGGAGCTGCAGTATTCTCTGAAGTGTTCTACAGTGTCTGTATTGCCTTTAGACAATATTATATACCTGTGCTGAGCTAGATTGAGATCATACATCAACTTTATATCTCTCAAATTATGTTATATTTAGATTTTGCTGAAAGGTTGCGTCACTTTTTAAATGAAATCAAAATGAAAGTCTTTTCCTACTTTATTATCAAATCCAAATGACTTTATCATCTATAATTGACCACATTATCGTAGCATGTTTTTAGACTATACTTATTGCACAAAATCTGCATTTATAACAACTCGCAGAAGTGTTTTGTCAAAATCACATCGTGTAAAAACTGTTTTATATGTTAAGAATAGTGTCAAAAGTATGCTTAATGTTAACCTTTTTTTGTTTTACTCACACCTATTGTCTCCTCTAGAGTGACCTAGGACAGGGCCATCCAATCCTTAACAAAGAGTATACTTGTGTTTTAAAGCATAATTAACTAATTAAATGACATGTTTTCTACTCTTTCTTTTCTTGTTCCTGTCCGTCCTCTCTGCTGCTCCTCAGGTGGAGTATGAAGGACTGAAACATGGGATCAAAGTCCTCGAGGAGGAGACTGTCCTCCTCAACAGTCAGCTGGAAGATGCACTACGTCTGAAAGACATTTCTCAGGGTCAGTTGGAGGAGGCCTTAGATGCCCTAAAGAGTGAGCGTGAGCAGAAGAACAATCTGAGGAAGGAGCTGGCCCACCACCTCAGCCTGAGTGACAGTGTCTACGGAGCAGGGGCCCACCTGGCCCTCACCGTCACTGGCGTTGAGGGTCTCAAGTTCCCTGAGGAGACCAACATCACCAACGGCAGCGCCATGCCTGCTGCTAACGGCAACAACGAGGACAGCAATCGTCGCAACGGTCATGTTCACACAGGCACCGGATTGGCTAAAATGAACGGGGAGTACAGACCGGGCTGGAAAGGAGAAGGCCTGCACCCGGTGCCGGACCTGTTCAGTGAACTCAACCTGTCCGAGATACAGAAGCTCAAACAGCAGCTACTACAGGTGGGTCATAAGGAAATATAGCAGGCTTTTTATGCTAGCTGCTAGCCATTTTGTAATATTGAATGTTATGTTCAAGGTCAGTACTGACACCACTTGATCACCTTGGTTATGTGTCCAGTTACTGTCTGGAAAAATGTATCTGCTTTATAGCTGTTACCAACACGGTAACACTTTATTTTGATAGTCCATAGTTAACACTCTATAAGTCATCAGTTGACATTTAGCAGCATGTCAACAGTGCATCAGTTGACATGTGTCAGTTGACATTCAACAGCACCGTTCAAACCGGCAAGTAACTAAGCATTAGTTGATGATCAACAGATAAGCAACTNGGATTCATTTTTGAACTTGTCAACATCTTGCGTATAAGTTAGGATGATTTCCTGTAGATTTGTTATGGATTAATAATTGTCCAGGGTTTTTTGAAGCGGGTTTTCATCGAAAGGTTTTACTTTTTTGAGGGGTGCGGATGATTGTTGCTTGGTTGTTGTGCGCTGTTTGTTGCGAGTTGGGTGTAAAGGCCTTAATTGACTGTCTTTTTCCCCTTACCTCGAACAACCGAAACATACCACAAACAAGATGACACCCAAATATGCGGACCATAAGCTGAAGGTCAATAGGTGCACAAAACACTAGTCAACACGTGCCTTTGTAAAGCCGAAATAAGGGTACAGACATACGTTATTTAATCATCCTACTTCACATACACAAGACACTATCCAGTGGATATATATACAACAAGTAAAAACTGAACAGTTGTGAACCACATTCAATCCTACTAAAGGACATCTAAACATAATTATTAACAGATCGCCAAAAAACTTCCCCAAAGTAGCTTTCCAAAAGGAAAAAACTCCCCCCCTACTACAACAACAACAACAACAACAACAACAATGCTCAACCCACATTCAGAATTACCTGACAGAAAAGGGGATGAGCTGTTGCTTTGTATAGTGTTTGTTCTACTGTGCTTTATAGCCTGGTATTGACTTCAGTTATCCAGTGTTTGTGATCAGTTGTGCAAAACATTTCGCTTTATTCCCATGTCTGTTGCATATAATTAGTGGATGAATGTATGTGTTCTGTTGATAGGCTATAGACTTTCTACTGTTCTCAACTGTTTTTCACTTTAATTGGATAGTCCTAACACATGCCTACAAACGCTTAAAGGAGAACCTACTAAAAGTATACTAATAGTCAACTCTAGATTACTTGACGATCAACAGATAGTCAACTAAACTCTAAAGTTGCTTATCTGTTGATCATCAACTAATGCTTAATGTAATAGACTGAACTTTAGTTGCTTATCTGTTGATCATCAACTAATGGTTCATGTATATTCTACTGGCAGTTAATTGAATGCATGTTACTTGTCTGTTGAAACAGTGTTGTTGAATGTCAACTGATGACTTATAGAGTGTTAACTATGGACTATCAAAATAAAGTGTTACCAAAAAAAATTATGAAACGGCTTTAAAACCAAGTGATGATAAAGACAAGATGCTTATCATTGTATGTTAAACACAACATAATTTGGTTTGGCAGCAAGGTACTCAGTTAGCAGGATATATATATATATATATATGTTTGAAAAAGGGTAAACATATACCACATATAGAAGAAGAAGAAGAAGAAGAAGAAGAAGAAGAAGAAGAAGAAGAAGAAGAAGAAGAAGAAGAAGAAGAAGATGGAGCTTTATTAATCCCCAGAGGGGGAAATTCAGTTTCCACTCTGTCGTACACACACATGCGTTTTTATACAGGTACATACAGTGCACACTTTTTAAATCATGCACATACATATACAAATACACACACATATGCACACATGCAGTTGAGAGGTCAGAGCGGAGGCAGCCAGTCTAGCCGGCGCCAGTTGGGGGTTAGGTGCCTTGCTCAAGGGCACTTCGGCAGTGGCCCAGGAGGTGAACTGGCTCCTCTCCAGTACCAGCCCACACTCCTTATTTTTGGTCCGATCGGGACGTGAACCGGCGACCCTTCGGTTCAAAGTCCAATCCCTACAGACTGAACCACTGCCGCCCTTATATATATATATAAATAGCCATATACTAGATAGTAGATACATGGCACAATATAGAATTATAATAAATTAAATACCATACATGAATGTAACATTGACATTGTTGAACTAGACTAGATATTGAAACATAATATTTCAATGATTTTTGCAGACCACTCATGCTAGAGATATCGGAGTCGTTTTGCTCATGCATTTGGGCCAATGTCCATTATATATCATGTGTTTTTTTATGATGAATGCTCTGCTAATGTCACTAGCGGGAGTGATTAATCTAATCATAGCAAAGCAAACAGATTCCAGCAGAAGAGGAAGAACATTCGCCTGTGCTGTAGGGAGTCCTGTCAGGGTGATTACCATCCTACAGGCAGAGGGAGGAGATGCAGAGTCAGAAACTGACTTCACTCTACTTTACTTAAGAGATAACGGGACAGAAATAGTCCCAACTGGGAAATGACGTCCAAATGAGGAAGGGAAAATGTCAGAGAAGTTTTTTGTCCACTGGCACTGTACATTTCTAAATGTGTCACACTGTTACTATGCATTGTGATAGGATACTTCCAAATAAATAGAGTATAAATATGGGGCTTATATAATATAGAGTAGGAGATACAGTATGTTCCTCTGACAGTCACTTATGCACTGAGTCACCTGTGTGCAACACACCCTCTCCCCGACATAGACATCAAAGGTAGATTAGATTCATGCTGAAATCTAGTTTAGTCATTACTGTTCATTTTTTCCCTAGCTGAGCTCCTCAGGGAAATATAAAATGAGATTAGTGGCTTTAGTGTGCCTTTCTCTCTAAACACAATTACTCACTAATCAATTCTTTTTTTTTTTTAGGTTAAATTGTGATTGGTTGTAGTTGGTTTGTCTGAACTTTAAAAGTATTAAACAAGAATACATAAATGAACAAAGTAAAGAAAGAAAATGGAGCTACTGTGTGATGCAAGACACATTTCAGACTTGATATGACAATACATTTTAACCCTATTTCATTGTATCGTAAAGCCTTTTACTTGTATCGCATGAACATGAATATAAAATATTTGCAAACATGTACCCTCATTGTCTGGATCATCCCCTGTCCTTCAGGTGGAGCGTGAGAAGTCGGCGCTGCTCATGAACCTGCAGGAGTCCCAGACCCAGCTGCATCACACACAGGGCGCGCTGAGCGAGCAGAACGAGCGCGTCCACCGCCTCATGGAACACGTCAGCGGCATGAAATGTCTGAACGGAGAAAAAGAGCTCGATGACGCTCAGGAGAGTGAGAAGCCTGATGGTGGGTCCTCACCACCAGCTAATGGCCACCGCGACCCCGATATCCACGGCTTTGAGATCCTGGAGTGTAAGTACAAGGTGGCGGTGACGGAGGTGATCGACCTAAAAGCGGAGCTCAAGGCCCTGAAGGAGAAGTACAACCAGGCTGTGGAGGGGCAGGGAGAGGGCCACAGTGACGACAGGGCCCAGGCACTGAGTGAACAGGTATGTGGATTTATGTTTTTATCGCTGCATATGAGAGGATATAAACTTCAATCAATTCTTGTTTGCACCCTGTGATGTTTCAAATGTCCAACTGATTTCTTCCAAGGAGGTAACCCATTTGGAGCGTAGTTATCGGGAAAGCCGTGAGAGGGTTTCGAGCCTGGAGACAGAGTTACGAACAGCCACGAGCACAGCCTCCGAGAGCCAGGGCATGCTGAACACAGCGCAGGATGAGCTGGTTACCTTCAGTGAGGAACTGGCGCAGCTCTACCACCACGTCTGTCTGTGCAACAACGAGACGCCCAACCGCGTGATGCTGGACTACTACCGCCAGAGCCGCATCACACGCAGCGGCAGCCTCAAAGGCTCTGACGACCACCGGGCTTTGCTCTCTCCTCGCCTGGCTCGACGCCTCGCTGCAGCATCCGCAGCCTGCTCTTCCTCTGAGCTTCCACGTAGCCCCCTGGACTCCCCATCCAAAGATGCCCATCACAATGAGAAAACAACCAACCAAGGGGAGTCTACATCCTGTCACAGCAGCCCCAGTCGCAACCCCATGGGATCTCCATCCATCAGCATCTCTCCCTGCCCATCTCCAGTGCCCTCTGAAGCAGGTGGAGACCTGCGGAAGGAGCCTATGAATATCTACAACCTGAACCCCATCATCAGAGATCAGATCAAACACCTCCAGAGGGCTGTGGACCGCTCGCTGCAGCTGTCCAGGCAGAGGGCTGCAGCCAGGGAGCTGGCGCCAATGCTTGACAAGGACAAGGAGCTGTGCATGGAGGAGATACTCAAACTGAAGTCGCTGCTCAGTACCAAGAGAGAGCAGATAGCCACACTCAGGCTGGTGCTGAAGGCCAATAAACAGGTAAAAGACGGTTTATATGTCATACAAAAGCTTAGTTGAGATGAACGGTTGGTTGTATAATGTACACATTCAGCATAACCAACTGTAGATGGTGGTCAACATGCCCCAGTTTTGGAGAAACATAGAGGAGTACGAGTATGGATCTAAACAATGCACTGCGATGGACACCAATGCTTTTCTCCTTTTGGATCAAATAAGTTGTGCTTCGCTCCCATCCAAAGCAGCACATTAATTAGCTACCGTGCTGGTACACCTGTCTTTTTCTCCTAATTGCCATCTACTGTATAAATGCTGACCATGGATAGGTACCTCATTTAATGTTACATCAAATTAGGCCTAGTTTTGAAATATAATATTAAACCATTCACATTTCAGACAGCAGAGGGTGCACTGGCAAATTTGAAGAGCAAGTACGAGAACGAAAAGACGATGGTGACAGAGACCATGATGAAGCTCAGGAACGAGCTGAAGGCTCTGAAAGAAGACGCCGCCACCTTCTCGTCTCTTAGGGCAATGTTTGCCACAAGGTAAGAAAACACATATGAGACCACTAAGCTGGGAAATTGATCAGTCCTTAAATATAAATCAAGGATTTGAACTCCCCTGCTGAATCTTTGTTTCCCCTCTGTATCTTCATCCTCTCTCTTCATGTAGATGTGATGAATATGTTACCCAGCTGGATGATATGCAGAGGCAGCTGTCGGCAGCAGAGGATGAGAAAAAGACGCTGAACTCCCTCCTGCGCATGGCCATCCAGCAGAAACTGGCATTGACCCAACGGCTGGAGGATCTGGAGTTCGACCACGAGCAGACTTACCGTGGCCGCGGCGCTAAAGTACCCAGGATGAAAAGCAGCCCGCCCAAAGTAAGTCTCAGAGGCGCCTTCACAGCTCCCTCCAGTCCCACGAGAGTCCAAAGCCCCTCCTTGATCACCACCCACACCCTGAACACCTCCCTGACCCTTACTAATCCGTCCATGTCTGCGTGGACTTCAGACACAACTCTTCAACCGAACCTCAGTTACTCTTATTTGTCTCCAAGCACCCCGCCCATCATGGTAGACCCTGAGCGGCTAACCTTAGAGTTCAGACGTCTCCTTTATTCAAGACAAGACTTAGGTCGTCTGTCACCATATCCCAGAACCCGTAGCCCTTCCCCAGTATCTCCTCACATCCGACGAAGGCGATGACTCATCACCCAGCACCATTATTCTATACTGTCTGTAGAAAGTTCCCAGAAGGTGGGATACAGAGAGGAGGAAAAACTGGTTTCACATATCTAACGTTTGAACACTCAGGAAGAAGGAGCACTGGCAGCTTACTCCATCCACAAAACACCACTGAGCATCTTTTTTGTATTGAGAAGATTGGACTGTTTAGCATTTTAGAATAAACAACAGCACACATATTCATATCAGGCATATGAATAGCTGCTGCCATAATGATGATCACATTATGATTATCATTATGATACATTTCCTAGAGTTTTGGGAAGTATTTCCGACTAAAAACCAAACAAAGCAATGCCTGCAGCCTCTGCTTCAGCATACAGTAACTCACAGCGCCTCCCTGTGGCAAACTCTAAAAATATGAATTGTTGTTTTTTTCATAATAAGTTACTAAACCATAAGTATTGTTGTTGAATGATATTTCCTCTTTGAATTAATGCATGCCTTATTTTGTCACACCTAGAGATCTGTCAAAAAGCGTTTGACAGGAGTTACATGGTGAATATGTTGTCAAGAGTAGTATGGAAACCAGTCAGACCTCCTCTCTGTGCCTCAAACTTCTATTTGATTGTCCCCTGTTCACTTTCCCCTTACCCCACATGTATCATCCATAAGAAAACAAGAGGATAAACTAACTCTACTACTTCTTCCACCGACAGCCAATGTCTAAATAATCCTCTCTCACAGTGTTTCCTGTGTTCTCCACCAGATAGCAGTGTCTGAGAACTTTTCCATTCTCTTTCCTGTCAAATGCCTTTTGATATCTCTCCCTGTCCTTTAAAGTATTGTAGCAAATAACATTTTAATATAACACAACATAATGTAAACAAACCATTTTTTAAATGTTAAGGGAGCACTGACAAGCATGACTGGTGTAGAGTTAAGTAACTATATTGAGCCATGAGCAGCAGGTGACCTGGAGTTGATTGTGGCTGGATTGTTCAATATTATCCCCTCTGTGTCTTTCCATCTCTTTTTGTGCTGGACAAATCCATATGATATTGGATGTTCAAGTCTGTGTGTGTGTATTTGTAAATATATCCATATGTGTTTCTTTGTGTTTCGCCACTTGCCAGAGACTGTCAGTGTGATCAGATGAGACTGGTTGAGTTACGATTTAAGTATTTATTTTTCTGCATCCTCTGTTTGCTGATATTTTCTTCTCTTGTTCTGCTTTCTCATAGGATTCTGTATATTGAAACACCGATTTCCACCGCAGAAATGGTGTTATCCAAAACAAAATGAGGTTGATCATTTTCTACATTATGTAGGTTAAATGATGTTATTGTAGCAAACCAGTAGCAGTCTCGTTGTTGCTGACAAGGTCTTCCCCTTTCCTGTCCTCCGTGTTTTCTCTGTCCTTAATGTCTAACCCTGAGTGTTACCACTCTGTATATTTGTCTAATTTATCAGTTTCTTGTAGATTGTCAGCAGCCTGCTGCCTCAGTACCGTCATTCTCCCCTCAACTAAGGCGAGGGAGAGCCTCCCTAGCGCGCAGGTAACACGCTGTAGAACCTGCTAGTGGTAAGCTCATTGGCATCTATCTATCTATATATCTATCTATATCTCTATCTATCTATCTCTATCTATCCATCTATCTCTATCCATCTATATATCTCTATCTATCTATATATCTCTATCTATCTATCTATCTCTATCTATCTCTATCCATCTATCTATCTATCTCTATCCATCTATCTATCTATCTATCTCTATCCATCTATCTCTATCTATCTCTATCCATCTATCTATCTCTATCTATCTCTATCCATCTCTATCTATCTATCTATCTATCTATCTCTATCTATCTATCTCTATCTATCTCTATCTATCTCTATCTCTATCTATCTATCTATCTATCTCTATCTATCTCTATCTACACGCCATTCACATTATATTTACTACGCACATATTTTCTGGTTGCACACCTGTATCTGTAGAAGATACATTTTGTATGTTTAAGTTTTGCATGGCAGTTTTCTTCACATGCTTTCCTGATGGTCAATATATGAACCGCTAATTGTCCCATTCATTAAAAAAAAATCTTCTAAAACATGATATCAAGAATAAATAGAGTAACAAAGTTCATTGTTAACTTTAATGTACACTATAGTTTTCTCTCTTTTCACATAGACATACCACTTAACCAGTAGCTTTAATTAGCATCCTTAGTCGACTCAAAAGCTGTTGACAGTAGTGTTTGAGCTACCAACAGACTGGACGACAGCATATCCATCTTTTCAAACAAATATGTGTCAATGGACTAAGGAAGTAATACACGGTGACGGCAACTAGAACACTGCTGATAGATCTAAGGCCATTTTTCACTGTCGTGCTGGTTAGCGAATACTCCCCAATCGTTTTTTGTTGTTCCCACTTTATACTTTGTCGTGAAGTATAATGTGAACAGCACTTTCCTTGTCTCTGCGTGATTTTAAAGGAATTGTTTTTGGAAATTAGGTTTATTGAATTGTTGCCAACTAATAATGGTAAGCTTTACTCTCTGCTTACACTAAACATAAAGCAGCTGTTTTTAGCTTGTTAGCTTAACTTTGCCGACTTACAATTAGGCTAGGCCTGGCTCTGTCCAAAGGTAACAAATCCAACGACAAGGATTTCAAAAAGTATTATCTATTTTGTCACTAGTCTTCATACAAATAATGTAAAAATTATGTGTTTTATGTGGGTTTAGCCCTGCACACTCACTTCCTGGAATCTTTGCTTTCACAAAGACAACAGACCACAGGAAGTTAACTACGATGATTTAGTTACCTTTGATAGAGCCATGCTAGCTATTTCACAACTCTCTTATCTTTGAGCTATGCTAAGCTAATTGGCTCCTAGCAATAGCTTTATATTTAGCATACCAGAGCGTCTATATTCTCCTTTCAACCTTGGGCAAAAAAGGCAATTTCCTTAAAACTTTTCCTTTGATTACCATGCTAGTCTTTTGTACCCTTTTCACATGTTGAATATTTATTTTATTGATTCTGCCAGCGACTGTTTCCTTCTTCTGTAACCCTCTAATTACCAGTATTTTCACTTAATCTTACTTCTTCTCTCTGCATTCCTACAGTCCTAAATATTTGGCAGACCTCCAGGAACAACGTGCAGTCCTGTCCAGCAAAAGTAGCCTTCTCTCCCCCTGCGACCCTCATGTCTGCCTGGCCCAGCACCCCCTGCCCCCCGACACCTAATCCGCTGCTCCAGGCCAGGGCCAGGGCCCGGTCTTGTATGAGTCATGCAGAGACAAAGACACTCTGGATGGGGGTTCCCTCAGTTTAACTCCCCCCAGCAGTCCCATCTGGTGCTTACTGACCAATGTGACCCCACCTAATCGCTACATGGTCTGGCTCTCTGCAGGCCTCCTGGTTACCTGGGTCGCAGAAGAAAAGGATGCTCTTTTCATCCTGTCCTGGAAAGGACTGAACTGAAGCGCAAAACAAGTGAAAAATCATTGGAATCTTTCCTTAACTAGTTATTTATAATTGATGTACTCTATTTATTATTTATTTACATATTGATTTGTGTCAAGATTCTGAGGTATTTATTATGGAATGTTTTTTTCTGTATTTGTTGGTCCGTTTCAAAATGAAAATCATGAGGTGTTTCACTGCTGTTGTGAAGAATGCATTAATCAAAGACGGTTTAGCACATTTACTTCTGTACATGGCCGATATTCCTTAACAAAGCAAAGTCTAAGCTAAAAAAAGTCATTAAAACTTGTCTAATCGTACGATACAGCAGTTTACATTGTAGATTTTGTCAGAATAATAGTAATCAAAACATATGTATGCCAAATAGGATTGTAGAGTACATTTGGTTTTGAAGATGCAGACAGACTAATGGAGGGGAAACAATATACAAGAGAATAGTTTATTGTGGTGGAATTGGTGAGTGGATTTCAGCTACCTTTGCAACATTGCTAGTCTAGAATGATTGTGTTTTTTTATACAAAGATCTTTTTTTGCAAATCATGTGCATATAGAATATTTTATACCTCCTATTATTTGTATTTATTTTTGCAGCAGACTCTAGTGATATGGTTGTGAATGGTATGTAGCTCAGATCTATGCAGGGTCTGGGATAGAAGAGAGACTGAGTGGTTGAGATGAAAACTACGGCTGTTGGCCTGGGTTTTTGCCATTTGAATTGCACAGTGAACTGATCTTTTTAAAATATTAGTCAAGAGCTGAGGAGTCCCCAAAGGTGTGCCTCTTCTGGAGTTACCGTCACTGTCATATCAACATGATGTTCCCATGAAAAAGTATTCCCTGTCTTCTCTCTTTAAATATATTGGCCAAAATCCCAGAAACTCTGACCTTTGGTCCCAGCTGTGACAGAAATGACATTTTCAATATCTGAATTTAGATGTGTCCGTCACTGTAACATCTCCCTTTCCAGCTTTCCTTACTACTCATTCAAACAGTATGCAGTACTTCAAGCACAATTATGCTCTATGCATTATAGTAGTGCCGGTCGTGGACTGATCTGATTTCCATCACCATAAACGAATTAGCAGGCAGACAAGAATGGCAAGACAGAATATCTTTTTGGAAAACAGCTTTGATCACAGAGGGGCCGATTCGGACTGAAATGGATCTGATGTGTGACGTTTGTTGCATATACAGTTGAAGTCCCATCTCTTTGTCTTTATACTCTCATAATGTCCTAATGTTCTCGTTGCACTGAATACATATTTTTGCCAGATGGATATGAAATGTATACTACATAGCCAGTATTGTGTTGTAATGCCGGATAAAAGCAATTCTGTTACATCAGCGATGAATGAGTGGACTCTTTCTGTTCTCGGTGTGTGTATATTTCTTCGATTTGTCTTTGTTAACTCTGTAGATTGTTATTTATGCATCTACAGAGTGATGAAAACTTTTGTGGTTCAAAAGTAGCATCTGAACCCACGCAGGCTCATTGGTGACCTAACTCTGTTGGTTTGTTTGCACAATATAGAAGTGGATGGAGAGAGACTAATCCAGTGAAAGAAAAAATAACAAAAGCTGTACCACAGTGCGTTTAACAGTTTCTCCTCCATTTAAATAATGTGTTTAATTGGTTTCACAAGTAAATATAAGACCTGTCCTTGGATTTGTATGTGACTTTGTGTTTGTGTCTGTTTCTCAATCGCAGCATTATACCGACCTACACAAACTTGCTGTGGTCATGCATTCACAAAGACAGCACCGAACAGATTAGACATTAATCTTTGTGTTGTTTTTTGCACCACACTACACAGAGTAGTAGAGATCAAGAGATTGGTTCTTTTGAAGGACAAAGGGCTGTGATTTGAATCAGTACTGAGAAATAAAGTAATCTGTGGCAGACAGAGGTTGAGGTATCAGGAGACATTAGCACATATTGCTGGCTTATCTGATCATAAGAAGGACATCCATCAGTGATCATACTGAGTGTATTCATTGTACACCCTTCAACAAAACTGAAAGTAAAAAAAATACATATTTGATCTGCTTTTGACATAACTAATACTCAACATAAAAACAATACAAATATACTATTCGCCAGATAACTATGATGATGCTGCTTATTTCTAAAGGAGCTTGTTTGTTTGACTGCATATCCAACAACATATTGTATGGGTGAAACGCTGAATATATGTCTTATGGGATACAATTTCTGCCCAAATAATTAAAAACATTTAGATTAATTAATTATCATTTTAAATACTAATGGATAATTACATCTAATGAATGAATGATCATTTCACAGAATAGGATTTGTTTTAATAATTATATCTTCTTATAAACATGACTTAGTGTTCCACTTAGATCACAAGGACTTCATTCACTTAATCAACATCTTGATAGCTGTCTGGTAACATATATTCTAATCATTTAAAAATATATCTTAATTCTGACTTTTTATATCCAAAAAAAAGTGTGACAAAAGATTATCAACATGATAAAAAATATAGTTTGTGTGTGTTTCTCCAACAGTACATTGTGTGTGTCTGTGTGTAATAAGGAGGTCAGCACCGCACCACCATTATGTAATGAGGGGGAGAGGGCGGGGCTAAGAAAACACCCCAGACAATAGTAGAACATGTGGATTTGACACCCACATGTGTACAGGTGTTTTTTTGTTGTTACTTATTGACCCGCGCAGGCGCAGATGGGCTGCCGTCGGGCAGCTGGATGTGCCACTTCCCGCAAGCGGTGGACCGCGTTTCTTAAACTTTTAACAGTTATTTCCGGTCACGTTGAATGCGTTTCAGTTGACTAATTCAATGGTGGATCGGAGAACATCTAATTGAAGAATGGACAGATTTCACAGGGTCGCTTTTCGCAGGAAACAACTGAGTCTGGACTCTGAGGATCTGCTAGAAACAGGTAGGTTTCTAAGCAATGCAACAACACAACTGTGCCCTCCCAAAACTTTCCAAGTTATCCTAACGTGCGTTATGGTGTTTTATTGTAAAACACATAATATATCATTCCTTAAATGCAGATTTTGTTTGTTCTCTATATATCACATTTTGTGTCTTACCCGCTCTTAATTCGCCTACTTAAAATGAAAACTTCCTTGTGCACTCTCCTGTCCAGCTCAGTGTTAGAGCATGAAGAATTATTACTGGCTGTAAAGTAATTTAACTGGCATTCTGGTGACTCAGTGTTATGGCTGTGACAGGTCTTGTATTAGACATCATGTGTTTTTGTCAGTCTGGTTGGGAAAGCATGGAATAGCCCCACAGTAACACACCTACATTAGAGCCCATGTTTACACACCACCTCTGACTTGCTGGCTGCTCAGCAGGTATGAAGGATCAGGGGCAAGCCTCAGCCTGTTGTGTATCCATCTACATGCTGGAGGGCACATGTTTCTTCATACTGAGAACACCACTCTGTAGAAAGACCTAGATGTTTGTCTACTCATGTTTGCAACGTTCAGGAACATGTAGATATCTCTGAGCAGGTGTGTATCAGTTTTAAAGCATTCTAAAGTCCTTGGATTGGTCTCCATGCTGGCTTCCAGATGTACCTATGCAGAGCTGCTGTCTGGTAGCTTTACCTTAAAGTTTGCCCAAGCTTTATTATGATTTATCAGTAAATATCTCTCAGAATTGTTTTTATCCAAATAGTACCTGTCAGTACTTTGTGCTGTCTGGGCATGACCTACTAAAGCAGGAGGGGCTAGTCTTATCTTGTACTCTGCTGTATATTTGTGCTAACATGCAGCTGAGGACACTTCAGTGCACTTGCAGTTTGATTTGAACTTTGCTCTGTGGTTGGTACGGTGCCTTCATATCACAATGAACAATTGTCTGTCAGCAGTCACGTAATGAGTTGTATGTCTGGAAGTGAGGTAAACAATAAAATACCTAGAGATATTATCTGTCAGTAAATCAATGTCTGTTCGCAATACTGTGGCTAAGTTTGTGTAATTATCGTCACCTGCCCTCATTATTGCACTGTTACCAGTATTGTTAAATATACTGGTATTATTGAGTTTGTCCTGCTCTTTACACATTGGTAAATAGATAATTAGAATGAAAAAGAAAGTATACATGTAAACATTAGCATATTGATTAGTGTTACTTGAGCAAAATGTCTTTAGTTATGGACATCTCTATTAGGTACAGGGATGAATAATAATGTGGTCAATGTGCAACATATAGCCCAATTGTCTTCGCCAAGGAGGTCTGTTTTTTTTAGTTTGGCTTTTTTGTGTGTTGGTAACTAAGAACTTAGAAGGATTATGGCCTGATGTCCATGAAAGTTGATGGTAGCTAGGGCATTGGCCAAAGAAGAGCCCAATCTATTTTGTAGCGGATACAAATCATAGGGTGGACTGGATACATGCACTTGTGTTTACTTGTTTTGTTGACATTGTAGAATTGGACATTTTGACTTGATGGAATTCTGCATTCTTTGGATATCCATTATTATGTGTGTTTACCATTACATTGCTCGAAGCTCGAGAAGTGTATGATGGTATCTTTGGATACCATCATACACTTCCCCTTGTCATTGTTCCATAGTCTAAATGGTAGCCCCATGGTTTCATTACTGAGCTATAGTAAATATATCCATCCCGATGTTTTTGTATAAATTTAACTACCCTTGATATGAACCGGGTTGATTTCAAGCACTGAAGAAAACAGATAAGCAACCTGATTTCCCTTGCCATAGCCAGATAGTAATTTCTTCCGTTTGACTTGATAAATACGACTTCTAATGATGCAGGATATCATTTCAGATAAGCAGTATTACTCTTATCATTATCTAGCATACTCTGTAGTTTTGACTATATCTCTGTGTATGTTTTAGAAGAATCAACCAAGCGGAATAAAGTTGAAATCTAGGCCGTCCAATTTGTGCCCAAGAAGACTATTTGTTCATTTATGTCTATTTTTGGTCCCTTCCTACTGGACAAAATGATAGTTAGCAGCAAGTCTTTTATCCTCTTTGAAATCAAACTGCAATACTTTCCCATCTGCTCTTGTGTAACAGAGTCGGGTTGCACAAAGGTGCAATATAAATCCACATAAACCACACTCTCTTTGGAAACCATCATAAAGAGGATTATTTGTTTTGTTCTTGTGTGTGAAATTGTTTTCACCCTAGTATCTTTTTTATAACTAACACATGAAGTAACATTTAATTTGTGTTTCAATCACAAATAGCTCTCAGCATGTATGTTTGAGCTGGTGTTAGAGTGAGGACAGCTGTATCACTCTCCAACAATGATCCTGCTTGTGCTCTGTGTGCTATAGAGGCAGTGGGACTGTATGAATCAGAGGCTGTGTGGCCTGCTGGCCTACTGCTTCTGCTATTGTTCTGCTGCACTGGTGCCCATTCATCCTGAGCTGAACCCTCTCACTGTCTGCTGGCTTTAACTCACTTCATGTCATAATGGTTCCTCTATGCAGACCAGTTAATGATGGCTGAAAGATGATTTATTTATTTATATGTTTGCATTTCCGTACCATAAATTATTCACTACTGATAAGTCATACCCCCTGGTATGGAGAAATATTGCTTCATGTGTGATTGGTAATTGAGTCCTGAAAGTATAATTTGAACGTTTTTCCTTTCGACCTGCTTCTTCTCAGAATAGATATCATCCAAAAAGAACATTATTTATTCATGAATGATAATATTTACACATTCAGACACACAACAACTTCTAGCAACAACAGACAATTTATAAAATTCAGTTCTTACTATTGATACTCACCTTTTATAGCAATTTTGTATAAAAGGCGATTCATGATAAAAGTTCATTTTATAAACATGTTTTGCTTCAACTACTACAAAAAGTATTATGTATGATTGAATTCATGTAAAGCAGCAAATAACCCTAAATTCAATGTTTTCAATGTATTTTAAACATTATAACATTATTAAACCTGCTCTTGATGAAGAGTTATTTTTATTGAGAATGTTCTCTTTTAAATTACAGTTATAGCTTTATTTCAATATTGCATTTAGGTTTATGTGATTTTCCTTCTTTAACTAAGGAATAACTTATTTGTTTCATGGATTATTTTTTGTATACTGCTGTTAACTGTGTTTCCCTACACTTTCCTGTTCTCTTTGTTCTTTTCACATTGGAAATGAGACAACGCTTTATTTATATCGGCCAAAGAAATCACTCTGATTGGCTGTTCAGCTTAGCGAAACAGTGCATGAGAAGCAAAACGGAAGTGAGGGACCCAAACAAATTATTAAGAAGGCAAATCTGAGATTTAACTCCAGCTCTCGACACAGGTTCGGGAAAGCCCCATGAGCTTCTCGTTGTAGAGTGA